ATGAGCGCAAATCCAGAGAAACGGGGAGAGATTTTGTTGAGTTATTTAAATTAACATATTTACAAACGATCATATACAGGGTGTCCCAAAAATATATCCACATTTTACATGATTGTAAAATTGGTGTTTACCATAATTTTATTATTTAAAAAAATGTAAAATATGTACGAGTGTCAGTTTATTGTTTTTTTACCGAAACAATTCCCTTGGTATTCGGGTGCATCCATGTTCAATGGCTTCTCTCAATTCAGCCTCTATTACAATAATCAAAATGCAGTGAAAAAACAACAAACTAATACTTATTAAGTTGGTTTGGCATATTTGGTTAAAATAGTTGACCCAATTGTGAAAAAAAACTCGTAAATATTTTACCGTTTTTTTTAAAATAATTAAATAAAGAAAAACACGATGTTTACAATTAATTAAAAAGTGTATACATTTGTTTGGGACACCCTGTTTTATGTGGTGCAGTAAGGGTCAGTTTATTTAGGAGAATAGACAATGCTTTAGAAGACCCTATTAAGAATGATATATAAAAGTAGTTACTTTGAAATATATTAAATAAGCACTTATCAATTAAAGAGAACGTAACATATTCGCATATTCACACTGTTTATGAAAAAATGCTTAAAGTCAACTTATCCAATAATATATTTTTGGGTCTCGTATAAAACGCTAGCGCAAAGATATAAGTAAGAGTTCGACACAGAATAAACAATAGAATCATGTGTGAATGTTTTTTCTTCAGATGATTCTTGAGTTGTGTGTACACGCTAATGGTCTATGCAAGGCTTCTCTCCTATGGCATCCAAGTGTGCTATAAATTCATTTTAGCATACAAATGTAAGCTTTCATAATTCCCTTTCAGAGCGGGATACAACAGTGATTCCAGATCATAAGAACTTAGTGCTATTTTCTTATGCTGCGATTATATCGAAAGCATTTCGGTGACACAATGTCCAGTATTTTGCGTAGATATCACTCAATATGCTATTAGTTTTCAGTAAAATCAAACAGCTTAGCTTGTTTACGTCGCGAAATGGGCGTGGAACAGCATAATTGTGCTCTCGTAGAACCGAACCAAACGAATCAGTCAGAATACGAGTGCACTATGTTTGGTGCGAGCTTCAACGGCCTGGTCTATCTTCCTCGCGTCACTGTTGTAGGGCTGTATCAGTGCAAGTGAGTTCAGTCAGAAAAAAGAAAAAGGCAGGCACTAGTAATTCGTTCAATCAAAAGTCTAACCAGCTTTAGTTGTGATAATAGGTTGATAAGCCAGTCGACTGGCTATGCTAAAGAAAACAGCAGAGAGGAGACTGGCTTTTCTGACTACTGGTAAAATGTAAATGGTCCTATGAAAAAATCGTTGGCAGAGTGATACGACGAGAATGGCAAATGGACAACGAGCAACGAAGATTGGCTTGCCACATTTATGAGGTCATCGTCCTTTTCATACGCTATAATCAGTTTTGAAATTTGTGGCTAGTTTTAAGCCAATGCAGTCGTTATCTTAATGCTACCGCGGTTCGTCAGCATAGTTCAATACCGCTTAGGTTGCGCGTGTTAGAGACGAGGCAAATAACTGAAACACTTACAACAGTCGTCATCTAGGGAAGGTGTCGCAGGTTTGGCCTTGAAATGTAAGTAATCATTCGAACTGACCGCCATGAACAGCAATAGACCAACTGCATTTTTTTCTCACTTATAAACAGAGTCTAGGTATTCTTATATACATATGAACCTGTCGCAGAGGCCGAGCCAAAGTGTGACGGACGAGGCCATTGGGACTGGCCTTTTATTTTGGACACAACTTAATTTTGCAAATGTAAGTTTCTGCAGCGCATATAGTGCGAATATGTTCCTAGGGTGTCTCTTCCTGTCAAATCTATCGTACCAGCTTGCTATCGTCCCTCATTCGTTTCCGCTAGATTGTGTTACACTGGGTCGAATTTTAAAATTTATAGCCCAAAGGTACACACGACAACCATGTCCCGGTACTGTAGGAATGTTGTATTCTTCATTGAAGCCTGGTGGTAGTCAGAGCCCCGCTCCCATGACAGACGTTTGGTTTTGGGCTTCCTTGCGCGTCTGTCCATAAGGGGGACGTGGGCTTGGAGGGGGAAACGTCACACGAGATTTTTCAGCGCCAGCGTAGTGAGTTGTTTGGGTATGTGAGGTATTTTTTGGTCCCTGTGATTGGCTGTTCTAGAGGCTGCATGTGCTGGCCGCTCAGGAGCCGTGATCACATAATTCTTAAGTTTGCGTGGGTGCCATAGGTGGAAATGTTATTGGCGCCGGAGGCACTTCAAATTCCAGCAGTTAGCCTCGTCCATACGCATCGACAAAAATCCAGTCATTTATTGTATGAAATCTTTGTTTTTGCCTCGTTAATTATTTGATCGTTATTATATTATAATTATTGTGAAGACATTCAAATATTGCTTTGATATTTATAAGCTGCAGTACAACGTGCACTATATGGCTAATTAATCTTTAAACATCAGAAAAATACATGGCCTTGTCTACATTCACTTGACTGTAATTTCTTTACATGGATTCCAATTTTTGAGAATTTTATGTGAGTAATAGGCAGTTCAAAGGCGTAAGCCTATTTTCCTCAAACACAATTACTGACTATAAGCAAACTGATTGGGCGTTTCCTTAAACGAATCTAAACGCTTTAATTGAATTGACGAAGATAAATTACCTTCAAATCTTTACCGCATGCAGGATTTCACAGCCAATAAGACTATTTTACAAAACTACAAACATTCTTCCATGTTCTTTCAATTTTCCAGAAGTGGCACCGTTCGCAGGGCTTAACAGCTTGACTAACAGCCGTATGCCTTATTTTATGTCCAAGAAGTCAATAATTGTAACTGGTGACCTAAACAGTCAAAGTAATTACTCTGGAATTTATTGTTCATGCTGAAAGATGAAAACTGGAAAAACTTATGGTCCAACACATTAGATCGACGATTAAATACACAAACACAATAATCGGGAAAAGCTGTGGAAGAATATATATGCAAGATAAACGGCGATAAAAGGTGAAGTCCCGCGTGATGGCACCGAAGAGCAGGTAGCTGCCATTTTATCAGCATGAATATACTGATATGCTCCAGGATTAGAAACTAATTTCTGAGGAAATTAAACATACTGAAATGGAAAAAGTAGTATATAACTCAGAAAGCATACATGGAATGCTGGGGTCCCATTGATGAGCCGGACCCCCGCAGCTGTGTCAGGCAGTCGCAGACTACCGGGGAAACACATGTTTGGGTTTAAGCTAATACCTGTGCTGCCAGTATAGTAAGTCGCTCGTAAGTTATTCTACTGTCCGCCTGTTGGCAGCTTGTGAATACTACGCAGTTATCCGATGGTAGATACTGGATTTCGGCTCAAATACGAACATAAATGTTCGGCCTATACCAATAGATCTTACATATACTGTCCTGCATCAAGTTGAACAATTTAAGTTGACATTACTTTACTGTTGACCCACCTTTAACGCAAATATTTTCCTCTTTTAAAAGGCTATGTGTGAGAACCTTGGTTATGAACTCGTGAATCAGGCGGATTTCGTTGCATTTGCGCAAGGCCGCGGTCTCAGCTGCGATCCAAGTGTTGGTGAGGTCAATTGCCAATACATGGTTAAGCGTTTGTCGCTGACGAATGAATTGAATGCAACCAACAACGAGTGACATATTGCGAATGCTTTATTTTATAACCGGCTACTGTTCTTTGTGAGAATATTGTTCATTGTTCAACAATAAAATGGAAGGGTGCGGTTTTATTAATTACTCGCTGTTAAATGGGATAATCTCAAATATGTATGGTTGCGTATTTGGTCTGTGAGGCGACATCTGTTCATAGGAGTTTGGAGAACGCGCAGACCTACGTTGTTGAAATAACTGTGAAACGGTGCAAATGAAGAAGGCATGACAAATGAGGGAACTTTCGGACTAACCGACCGTAGACTGGTAATGGCGTTGCCCTCCGGGCCTAAAATATAAAATACATTTCTTATTCATTCATGTATGTATAAATGCTTTCGACCCTAAACCCCATTAAGATGCATAGCGAGTAGTACAGCGCGCTTTACCAAATGAGGATGATCTGTGCATATCCGTGCTTTAACTCGAAATAATGCGCAAACTCTCTCCCGATACTCAAAGGTATAGCGTAGAGGACGTCACGCAATCCTATTTTTGCAACCGGGCTAATTGGATTCGTACTCCCAATAATTTCCAATCATTACCCATAATGGAATTCGCTAGTCATCTTGGGATACTAAGCAGTACTATGTAGGGATTGCACGACTTATACCT